ATTTCGGAAAAAAGGGGAAGTGGGGAGAAGGGGAAGGAGCGCGTTCCTCCTCCGGAGGAAGGGCGGGGGCGGGGGCGGACGGTCGGGTGCTCGCCACTCCGGGAGTGGGTGCTGGTGACTCGGTGAGTGGGTGCTGGTGACTCGGTGAGTGGGTGCTCGTGACACGGTTGGTAGGGAGGGTGCTTGTGGCCCGGTGAGTGCTGGTGACTGGTTTTATGGAGTGCTTGTGGCTCAGTTGGTGAGTGCTGGTGACTGTTTGAGTGGGTACTTGTAACTGTGCTGACTGTGGTGCCTGCCAAGCTCAGTCGCTGGGGTGCTGAGGGCTGAGTGACAAGGGTGCTGGCTGCTCAGTGGATGCAGAGATGACAGATGGGTGATTGGCAGGCAGAGCGTATGTGGGTGTGTCCTGAGGGATGATTGGCGGAGTGGATGGAGGGGCGGGGCCAGTCGTGGAGCCTGTGGGTGACTCAGTGATGATGTCACTCATGCTGGCTGGTCTCGACCCCAGAGCATCGTGGGACCTCATGACGTCACATGGGAGGGAGACACAAGCCACTGAGTCCTGATGTCTCCGAGAACCCGAGTGGCCCTGTGGACGGCGCTGGACCGAGGGATGGCGTCATCGGAAGTGCTCATGCCCCCACCCCAGAACAAGAGGGCACCTCATGACGTCACCAGGTGTCTGTGAGGGGGGCCTGAAGAGCCGGGGGGGTCTGGGCCGGAAGTGGGGTGACTTCAGAAGTGCCATGTGACTGGCAGCTGGCACAGAGCATCCTGGGGGACAGAGCTGCCATTTCCCACTGCTGCACGCATCACCCCGCCCCGTCGGTGATTGACAGCTGTTGCTTGTGGTCCAGGATGTCAATCATCTGGACCTGGGCGGCGGACGGCAGGAGGTTGATGGACAGGTGTGGGCGCTGCGATTTCCCGCACTGCGCCTTCCGGCCTGGACTGTGCCACGTGAGTGGGGCCCTCAGGGACACGGGTCAGCACCCACTTCCGAGTCACAGGTCAACGTGTCCCCCCACTTTGACGCCCGCACAGCATCATGGGACGCAGTGATGGAGGCCTCGACGGTCAGACGCAGCCCTGTACCAGAAGTGGCCGAAAGGACCGGCTCCGTGGTGTGAGCCGGGCGGTGATGACATCACTGGCGGTGATGACCTCCCGGAGGATGTCGGGAACTCATTGCATCATGGGGGCGGGATGGGCACACGTTGAGGGCCCGGGACAGCCGGGAACCTCAAGTTACCTGCAAGCCTGCCTGCCCGGGTAGGGGCGGGACCTGGGCGGAGGGAGTGGAGGCCCATGGGATGCCGCTGGCCTGGTGGGCGTGGCCACCGTCAGGTTCCCCAGGTGTCACGTGTCTCGTGCCACTTGTCCCTCCCTCCCATGATGCTTCACTCTCACCCTGGTAGAGACCCCGTGGTGTCCTGATGCTGTTGTCACACTCTGACGTTGGCACTTGGTCTCCAGTGATGTCATCACTTCCCACAGTCAGCACCCCTGGGTGTCACACTGAGAGCCCCCGAACGTCACACTGCGCTCCCCTGAACGTCACACTGCGTGTCCCCGAACGTCACACTGCGCTCCCCTGAACGTCACACTGCGTGTCCCTGAATGTCACACTGTGTGCCCTGAACGTCACACTGCGCTCCCCTGAACGTCACACTGCGTGCCCCCGAACGTCACACTGTGCTCCCCTGAACGTCACACTGCGTGCCCTGAACGTCACACTGCGAGCCCTGAACCCCTGAACGTCACACTGCGAGCCCTGAACCCCTGAACGTCACACTGCATGCCCTGAACCCCTGAACGTCACACTGCATGCCCTGAACCCCTGAACGTCACACTGTGCTCCCCTGAACGTCACACTGCGTGCCCCTGAACCCCTGAACGTCACACTGCGTGCCCCTGGGTGTCACACTGCGCTCCCCTGAACGTCACACTGCGAGCCCCTGGGTGTCACACTGCGTGCCCCTGAACGTCACACTGCGAGCCCTGAACGTCACACTGCGTGCCCCTGAACGTCACACTGCGTGCCCTGAACGTCACACTGCGCTCCCCTGGACGTCACACTGTGCTCCCCTGGACGTCACACTGCGAGCCCCTGGATGTCACACTGCGCGCCCCTGGACGTCACACTGCGAGCCCCTGGACGTCACACTGCGAGCCCTGAACGTCACACTGCGAGCCCCTGAACGTCACACTGTGCTCCCCTGAACGTCACACTGCGTGCCCCTGAACGTCACACTGCGAGCCCTGAACGTCACACTGTGCTCCCCTGAACGTCACACTGCGAGCCCCTGGAGCCCCTGGACCCCACCGTGCACTCCCTCCCTCCCCCCACCAATCCTTCATCAATAGTCAATCAACCAACACCGGGCCCCGCCCACCTCTCCCAGGAGTCCCCAAGGCTGGCTTCTGCCTGTGTCCTGGATCCAGGTGTCAATCACCCAGGAGGGCAGGGCCCCGGGCTCCTGCTGTCATTCAGCCTGTCAATCACCGCGCCTGTTCCTTCCCCTCTAGGTTTCCCAACCTGCAGATGAGGAAGCTGGGAGGGAGTCGGGACAGACCGAGGGACAGACAGCCGTGCAGAGGGCCCTGCGGGCCTCCCACCTCCCCACCACGGCTCAGGGCTGCTCACCCCTGAGCCTGGGCAGGAGCACCGGGCGCGGGCCGTCATTGTGGGCAATCCCCTGCCGTCAGTGTCGGTAAGTCCACTTCCTCCAGGCTTCCCGTGCTGAACTGGGGCGTGGTCCGCGTAGACTGGGGTTAAGGTGGGGGTCCTGGCCTGGTGACCGGAAGTGACCCTGGTGGGACTTCTGGTAGGTCTGGGGTCTGCTTCTCGAGGTCATCCTGGGGAGGGGTGGTGCCTGGTGACATCAGGAGGGTTGCATTAACATCACCGCTGTGATCCCAACCCTGGGGGGGGGGACGGCGGAGGGGGGGAGCGCAGGGGCATCTGGGAGATTTCTAGAATCTCCCAATGGGCTACTGAGGAGGGGGCAGGCTGACCTACTGTGTACACTGGCTGGAAGTGACCTCCATCCCCAGGTTATGGGTTCAAAAACAGAAAAAGAAAAGGCGGAGGGTCCGGCTGGGGAGAAGGCTCAGAGGTTAAGAGCACTGGCTGCTCTTCCGGGGGTCCTGAGTTCGAGTCCCAGCACTCACATGACGGCTCACAGCCACCTGTAATGAAATCTGGCGCCCTCCTGGTGTACAGGACACACATGAAGACACAATGTTGTATACATAATAAATAAATCTCTTAAAAAAAAGGTGGAGGGTCCAAGACTCCAGTGGCTGGGGTCAAGGGGCAGGGGCTGAGACCGGAAGTGGGGAGACAGGGACCTCCCTCCCCGTCATCCCCCCACCTCCTCCAGATTGAAAGTGACCCCGCCCCTGGGGCACTGTGGGTTGATGTCCAGCGCCCTTCCTGGAACTCACTTGGTAGCCCAGGCTGGCCTCTGACTCACAGAGACCCGCCTGGCTCTGCCTCCCGAGTGCTGGGATTAAAGGCGTGCACCACCACCGCCCGGTTTACTGCATGGGGGTGTAGGGGTGGGTGACGAACTTCCTGGGGACCCCCCCATCCCCTTCATGGAGAGTCTTCTTGGGTCTCCCTAACTAATTAGAAGTCCCAGGGCCTCTCAGCCGCCTTCAGGGAAGAGATGGATGATGGATCCTGGGAGTTGGGGAGGGGGAGGGCGGGGTAATGGGGGAGACGTGGGCGGGGTCCAGATGATGCAGAAAATGAAGAAATAAAATAAATCTGGAGACCTGAGGGTGTTGGGCGAGCGTCCCCAGCATGCACTGGGGTGCTGTTGGGTATTTGTTTGCCCACCAGGATCTTTGCATATGGAAGGCTCTGCGGCTGCCTCCGCAGCCCCCCCCCCATCATTCGCTGTACATTTCAGAAAAAACAATTTCCATGAGTCACCCGCTGCAGGGAGCCCGGGGCAGAAAGAGGAAGTCTGTCCTGACAGGGAGGGGGAGCGAGTGGGGCTAAGTCAGACTGCAACCCGCAGGACCCAGCCGATGATACGAAATTTCCGGCCTGTGACGTCAGGGCTGAGGAAGCTGAGGCAGGAGGATGCCTAAGAGTGTGTGTGCACATTCAGACCACACGTGCAAAGACCCACACACACACACACAATAAACAAGTAAACAGTAATGGTAAATAAATGACACTCCTGGCCTGTGATGCAGGGCTGAGGGAGCTGAGGCAGGAGGATAGCTGGGAGTGCGGAGGCGGGGGAGGGGGGGGAGTGAGAGAGGGATGAGGAGGAAACCCCTGTCACCAGGGTGTGCGTACATAGTGGGTCCACGTCAGGGGACTTCCTGCCACAGTGGGGATGCAGGGAACACAGCAGGGGCAAGGGGCGGGGCCAGTGATGTCCACTCCCCCTTCTGGGTGACTGACAGGTAACTTCACAGACACGCCCGCTCATCCACTTGACTGACAGATGAAGTTACAGACAAACCCAGCCATGCCATGTGACTTTACGGACACTCCCCATCCTCTGTGGCGGGATGACATCACCCGAGTGACAGATGACGTCACAGACACGCCTGCCCATCCCGTGTAACTCAGGGGATGAGTTGACTTGACTGGCGGGATGGCACCACAGGCTCCCGACTCACAGGACGTTGCTATGGAAATGCCTCTGTCTCTCCACAGCAGCCATGCCTACGCCGCGTGCGGCCTCGCTGTGCCGGGCCCTACTGTGTGCTGCTCTGCTCCAGGCTTCCGGCTCCAGGGCACAGGAGCTTCCAGGTGAGTGTGCGACCCCAGATGTCCCTGGTCCCCCGACACACACCTGGTGTGGTTCCTCGGTGACTCAGTTTCCCCATGACGCATCAACACACGTGAGGAGACATCAGCCTGTCCACACCGAGATGATTGACAGATCTAGACAGGAAGTAGGGGTCCCCGGTTCCTCTTCCCCATTGTGCACGATGACATCACTGCATCCTCCCGCATTTCCTGGGGTCCCGGCAGCTATTGTTGGAACAATGCTGGAAGTGATGTCACTTATCCCTAGGGGGGCGGGTCCAAAGTCACAGGTGGGCGGGTCAGGTCAGAGGCCGCCTTACATATACTCCAGCACTGACTCGCGGGGGAGCCTCGGTGCTGAACGTGACCTTTGACCCCGGGACCTGGACCCTGACCTGGAGCTGCGGAGAGCACGTCACCGTGAAGTCATGCACTGCAACTTTCACCAAGAGTAACGGGAGACTGGGGCGCCTGAAGATCCTGGTCTGTGGTGGGGGGCAGGGTCTGCTGGGGGTCGGGACCAGGGGCAGGCGCGGGGCCGGCATCAGGGGGGTCTTCTAATGACGTCACAACCCCTGCCCATCTCCCCCAGGACCCTGTGTGCCACTGCCAATTCAAACCCCTGGCCCTTCACCTTGGGGTCACGCTGGAGGTCAACGCAACTGTTAATCACACGCCTGTGCTTGAGAAGCTGAGATACGTCAACAGAGGTGGGGGGAGGGGGAAGGGGTACGGGGGAGGGGTGGCAGGGGGCCTGGTGCTTGTCAGTCATCATGGGGCCCAGGGGTGGGACGTGGTGCTTGTCAATCACAGAGCCCGTCAATCATAATGACTTTCCATCATGGCATTGGTCACCGCATCCTCATCACTCTCAGGGTGCTGGGGGCTGAGTGGACACGAGTGCTGAGCTCTGTTACTCTGTGCCAGCCCCATCCACAGTGGAAGTAGTTGCTGGTCACTTGGTTAAGGGAGGCCAGGCCTGAGAGACAGACAGGGAGAGATGATTGGACAATCGATAGATGGATGTGTAATCAGCTCACAGACGATCAGTATATGATCAATAGACAGGTGATAGTCCAGTGACTGACGGGGAGCAGGAGACAGGAAGTGACGTCTGAGAACAGGTGATAGACCCGGTGTGGACTGGTCAGACTGGATGGCTGACATGTGTGCTGACGTCACCACACCCCCGAGGGAAAGATGTCGAGGTTGATGATGAACTTCCGGGGTAAAGATGACATTTAAGGTTGAAAATCCACTTCCGGGTTCATGATGGACTTCCAGGATGATGATAGCCTGTGAGATAAATGTTGAACTTCCAGGTTGATAGTGATTTCTAGGCTATGTAAAGCTGTATTAGGATTTTCCCAGGGGCCTCCCCTGAGACAATCCTTCCCAGAGTCCTGGAGAAGATACTATGTCCAAGCATGGGGTTATCTAGGGGAAAAAAATGTATGTAAACCAGTTTCTTATGTCTGTTTACTTTATTTCTCTATAACAAACTTAAGTCTACACAGCTTCAGTTCTGTCCTGACATTCAGTTCCTCTTTGTCCCTTCTTTTTCTGTCCTCTCATAGCCCTAATAATAACTAAGCTCTTATGCTCTCGATCTCATCTTCGTCCTCTTTTCCTTCGTCCTCCATCTATCCTTCCTCTCCTACTCTCCTGATCTGATTCAAATCCACCTACAGTCTGCAGAACTTTTCCTTGCTCCTTACTCTTCCACCCAAGCCAGTCTGCCTTACCATCTACAGAAACTCTGCCTTCCTCTCTTCTCTCTGGCCAGACCAGGAATTCTGCTTCAGTCTTTACTGCAGCTGGTTATGCAAAAAAACTCTTTTGTCTTCAGTCAGTAGCTCTGGCATGCTACCTGAAGGAAAGGGATGGTCTGAGCTTCATTTGCACAAGAAACAAAGCTATGCATCTGTGGTCTGCTTGTCTCCAAGGCTCTATAGGGGTGTTACCTAGTAGATCAGCAGTAAGCCTGAGAAGTTTATACTGTTTACCATAGGGCCTAGTAGTATATGAGCACACAAAAAATTCATAGCAGAAGACAGGTGATTATTAAAAGCTGAATAACACCAAATATTCCCTGATAAATGGCTTCCCTCTAGAAAGATTCCTTGACCTTTCTAGGTATAGCTGTATTATGTACAGCTGAATCTCTATAATATATTCTTGTGGCCACAGCCCCCTGATGTCACTTTTTCCTTATGCAGGTGCAGAGGGGTCGGCAGCACAGAACCTCACATGCTTCATCCACGATGCGCGTGCAATGACGTGTACCTGGGGGGTGGGGCCCGCGGCGCCTAGGGACACCCAGTACTTCCTGCACATTCGGAACACCACGTGAGCACCGATGTCAAAGCATGCTGATGGGCGGGGAGAGGGGGCATGGCCTGGGGCCCAGGCTGACTATTATGGGCTGTCCCCCAAAGGGGTCACATGCTGATGGCATGCCCTGCCTACCTGGGTGATCATGTGCACACGGGCTGCCGCCTGGAGGATCTGACTCTGCTGACACAACATGTGCACGTGACTGTGACCGGATCCAGCCGGACGTGTGACATCATGCTCTATGACATCACGCTGAACACCAAGCTCATAGGTGTGTGATGTCAGGGTGACAGACAGTATGAGGGGGCGCGACACAGGGTTGAGTGACAGATGTGAGGGGGAGGGACATAGGAGTGATTGACAGCAGAGTGTGAGGGGGCTGGACATGGCAGTGGGTGGGTGGATGAATGACAGGAGAGTGTAAGGGGGCGGGACATGGTGTGGGAGCCCACAACTGACTCAGTTTCCCAGTTTGAATCTGAAGTCTATTCTGAGTCAAACTGGGAAACTGAGTCAGTTGTGGGCTCCCACACCATGGGGATGAGTGACAGGTGTGTTTGGTAGGGACTCGAGGTACATGACAGGTGTGAGAGGGCGGGACATGGGTGAGTGACAGGCGTGAGGGGGTGGATGACGGGTGACAGTTGTGAGAGGGCAGGAAACAGGTGTAAGTGACAGGTGTGTGTGGGGGAGATGGGGATGAGTGACAGGTGTGTGTGGGGGAGATGGGGATGAGTGACAGGTGTGTGTGGGGGAGATGGGGATGAGTGACAGGTGTGTGGGGGAGATGGGGATGAGTGACAGGTGTGTGGGGGAGATGGGGATGAGTGACAGGTGTGTGGGGAAGGGACAGGTGTGAGTGACAGGTGTGGGGGGGAGATGAGGATGAGTGACAGGTATGAGTGACGGGTGTGAGTGACAGGCGTGAGTGACAGTTGTGAGGAGGCGGATCACTGGGGTGAGTGACAGGTGATCACAGAAGCCTGCCGGTAAAGGTCATGTCACTTCCAGTAGGCGGGACATGTTCCTGTCACTCCTTCCTGACCCCGCCCTCCCCTCAGAGCGTCTCAGCCCCCCGTGGAACATCTCCGTGGCCTGTAACTCCTCCCACTGCGTGGTCACATGGTCCCAGCCACGGACGTGGAGTCACATGAGTTTCTTGGACTTCCGGTATGAGGTGGACATCCAGAGACAGGTGTGCGCCCCGGGGCAGCATGGGAAATGGGGCATGGGGCCTCCCGCCCTCTCCAGTCTGGGAACCCACTTCCAGTTCCGGTCTCTCCTAGAACGCAGACCCCGGAAGTGCCAACCCTAAGGTGAGATGGCCCCGCTGACCCCTGTTGCTGGAGGGCTTCTCTCCAGGTTCCCCAAGCCCCGCAGTCCCACAATCCACTTATAAAATAATCACTCAGACGCTTGTATCACTTATAAACTGTATGGCCGTGGCAGGCTTCTTGTTAACTGTTCTTATATCTTAAATTAACCCATTTTTATAAAT